ATTATTTTCCACAAATCCTCAGCCAGGGAAGCAGCCAGGCCATGAGCACACGTGGATGTGATCTCCTGGAACACCAAGGATGTGCAATTTTGGTGAAGGAGATTGCAGGAATTTCCTGATTGCAGGAAATCGGGGTGACAGGAGGCCCTTCAGGGACAGCCAGGGCAGGGTGGGAAGTGGATTTGTGGAGGATTATGGAAGTTTGACAGAAATAAAGCACATTTTAAGAGTTAATTAGATAAAATAAACAGCTTTAGAAGACCTTGGAACTGTACATTTTGTGGCTTTTTTTGCTGCCTTCTCTTCATGTGCTAAGCCTAGTGTAGAACTCCTGATAAGATAAAAAATAAACAACAACTTGGAGATACAAGAATATACAAGAATATTGAATATTTTTCTATGCAAGAATACTGAATATCTGCACCCTTTTCCATGCAAGAATATTGAATATCTGTACCCCTTTCTGTACAAGAACATTGAATTATTTTCCACAGATCCTCAGCCAGGGAAGCAGCCAGGCCATGAGCACACGTGGATGTGATCTCCTGGAACACCAAGGATGTGCAATTTTGGTGAAGGAGATTGCAGGAATTTCCTGATTGCAGGAAATCAGGGTGACAGGAGGCCCTTTAGGGACAGCCAGGACAGGGTGGGAAGTGGATTTGTGGAGGATTATGGAAGTTTGACAGAAATAAAGCACATTTAAAGAGTTAATTAGATTAAATAAACAGCTTTAGAAGACCTTGGAACTGTACATTTTGTGGCTTTTTTGCTGCCTTCTCTTCATGTGCTAAGCCTAGTGTAGAACTCCTGATAAGATAAAAAATAAACAACAACTTGGAGATACAAGAATATACAAGAATATTGAATATTTTTCTATGCAAGAATGTTGAACATCTGTACCCCTTTCTGTACAAGAACATTGAATATCTGTACCCCTTTCTGTACAAGAACATTGAATTATTTTCCACAGATCCTCAGCCAGGGAAGCAGCCAGGCCATGAGCACACGTGGATGTGATCTCCTGGAACACCAAGGATGTGCAATTTTGGTGAAGGAGCCTAAAATTTCCTGATTACACGAAATCAGGGTGACAGGAGGCCCTTCAGGGACAGCCAGGGCAGGGCGGGAAGTGGATTTGTGGAGGATTATGGAAGTTTGACAGAAAGTTCTGTATGCAAACTTTGAGAGAAGAAATGCTGATTTTAGGGTTTAAAATAAAATTAAACTTAAATGAAGGCTTCAAATTGAATTAAAGCCCCTTTAACGCTGCTTGGAAAATTCTCCACAAATCCATTTCCCACATTTCGTTTGCCCCAGGGGCGATCCCAGCCCGGGATCATGGAGAGCTCTGGGGTTCCAGCAGCAGCCCAGATGTTTTGTCAGAGCCTCCAGACACATCCTGACATGGATATTTTCCCTTTCCTCCTCTTCCCTGGGGGCACTGAGATCCATCCCTCTTCTCCAGGGCATCAAGGGAGATTTAAAAAAGCAGGAGAAGGATTTTCCACTGTGCCAGGCTGCTCCAGCCTGGCCGTGGGCACTGCCAGGGATCCAGGGGTGGAATTCCATCCCAGCCCTGCCCACCCTCACAGGGAGGAAATTGTCCCTAATTTTCAGTTTCGTCCCTAATTTTCCAGTTTGGAGCCATTCCCTGTCACATTCACATCCTCTGAAAAATCCCTCCGCCCAGGATATTCCTCCCGGGAAGCTGAGAAGCCTCGGAGGAAAGGAAAACCATAATTATCTCATTTTCTTCTCTGTTTTGCTCCTGTGGAATGTGTTTGGGCATTGTTCACCCACGGGTGATTGTTCCATTGGATTCATGTCAATTATTTTCACTCTTTGGCCAACCAGGGCCAAGCTGTGCCAGGACTGGAGAGAGTCGCAAATTTTTCATTATTCTCTTTTTAGCCCTCTGTCTGCATCCTTTCTGTATTCTTTATGTTATGTTTGTTTAATTGTTTCATTATAAAAAGGTTAAACAATATGAAAAATAATAACAATTTTAATTAAATAGTTTAAAAATATATCAACAAGGGATAATTTGGTTCAAATAATAGTATAAGTAAAAATAACTGCGGGGTACGGAGGGCAGGGTTTAATGACTTTTGCTACTTTACGTACAAGCTTGCTAAGTGAAAGTTACTTCTTATATGCCATGTGCAAACGCTGTTTCTTTTTACTTTCAGTCTGTCACTTTTCTGGTTTTGCTTTCTTCACCGTTTTTACTACGCACGCGCTACTACTCGGTTTGGCGGTCGCACAAGTGTTTGGGGGCCGTCACTGATGAAGGCTCTGCAGTTTTTTTCGTTGTTTTTTAATTTACTTTTGGGTTACGCATGTGTGCTAAGTTAGTATAATGTAAGCTAAGACTAACGTATTACTGCATCTACGTATTAAAGTAATAAGTCTTTTATAATTAGTATTTTCTTGGGACCCAACCAGGTTCTTGGTCATTTTTAGCAGCTGTACCTTCAGCTTCTTTCTTGTGGTCTTTGAAAACATCTGCTGAAAAAGGGGGGGTGAGTGGAGCCCCTCCTTTCCCTCTCTTCTTTGGCATTACAACTTCTAGCTATTAACTATTTTATTATTCTCAAATATTGATTACTGTATCAATATTGGTTACTGTTTCAATTTTTATCAGCACGAATCATACCTATTTATCACATTTAGCATGGCTAGTGTACCATTCTTCAATACCATATAGATCATAAAACAATAAATCAGCTTTTTAAGGACATGGAGCCAGAGCCGTCACTGCTCCCTGCCACGGGGCACCCCACAAACCCAACAATTCACCCCAAAAACCCAACAATTCCCTGGGTCCTGTCTCCCCATTTCTCCAGGGAAAAATGCTCCTAAAAATCTCAACGAAATGTCTCTGGGTCTGCTTGAAACACAAAGTGGAGCTTAATTATGGAGTGATCTGAATGAAGCAATTCCCTTCTTATTCCCCATAACATCACAACACATCTGTGCCCCCTTTCTATGCAAGAATATTGAATATCTGTCCCCCTTTCTATGCAAAACTATTGGATATTTCTACCCCCTTTCTATGCAAGAATATTGAATATCTGTCCTCCTTTCTGTGCAAAAATATTGGATATTTCTACCCCCTTTCTATACAAGAATATTGAATATTCGTACCACTTTCTATGCAAGAATATTGAATATCTGTACCCCTTTCTATGCAAGAATATTGAATATCTGTCCTCCTTTCCATGCAAAAATATTGGATATTTCTACCCCCTTTCTATACAAGAATATTGAATGTTCGTACCACTTTCTATACAATAATAATGAATATCTGTCCCCCTTTCTGTACAAGAATATTGAATATCACACTTTCTATACAATAATACTCAATATCTCTACCCCTTTCTATGCAAAATATTGAATTTCTGTACCTCATTTCTATGCAAGAATATTGAATATTCGTACCACTTTCTATACAATAATAATGAATATCTGTCCCCCTTTCTGTACAAGAATATTGAATATCACACTTTCTATACAATAATACTCAATATCTCTACCCCTTTCTATGCAAAATATTGAATATCTGTATCCCCTTTCTATGCAAGAATATTGAATATTTGTATCCCTTTTCTATGCAAGAATATTGAATATCTGTACCTCGTTTCTAAGAAAGAATATTGAATTTCTATCTCCCTTTCTATACAATAATACTGAATATCTGTAACCCTTTCTATGCAAGAATATTGAATATCTGTCCCCCTTTCTGTGCAAGAATATTGAATATCTGTAGCCCTTTCTATGCAAGAATATTGAATTTCTGTACCTCAATTCTATGCAAGAATATTCAATATCTCTATCCCTTTCTATACAAGAATATTGAATAGCTGGAAGCCTTTTCTATGAAAGAATACTGAATATCTGTCCCCCCTTTCTATGCAATAATACTGAATATCTGTACCCCTTTCTATGCAAAAATATTGAATATCTGTCCCCCTTTCCAGTCAAGAATATTGAATATTTGTACCCCTTTCTATGCAAGAATATTGAATATTTGTATCCCTTTTCTATGCAAGAATATTGAATATCTGTCCCTCTTTCTAGGCAATAATATCGAATATCTGTACCTCTTTCTATGCATTAATATTGAATACCTGTACCCTCTTTCTATGCAGTACTGAATATCTGTCCTCCTTTCTGTGCAAGAATATTGAATATCTGTCCCCCTTTCTATACAATAATACTGAATATCTGTACCCCATTTTCTATGCAAGAATATTGAATATCTGTACCCCTTTCTGTGCAAGAATATTGAATATCTGTACCTCCTTTCTATGCAAGAATATTGAATATCTGTACCCCTTTTCTATGGAAGAATATTGAATATCTGTCCCTCTTTCTAGGCAATAATATTGAATGTCTGTACCTCTTTCTATGCATTAATATTGAATACCTGTACCCTCTTTCTATGCAATACCGAATATCTGTCCCCCTTTCTGTGCAAGAATATTGAATATCTGTCCCCCTTTCTGTGCAAGAATATTGAATATTTGTATCCCTTTTCAATGCAATAATATTGAATATTTGTACCTCCTTTCTATACAAGAATATTGAATATCTGTACCCCTTTCTATACAAGAATATTGAATATCCGCACCTTTTTTCTATGCAAGAATATTGAATATCCGTACCCCTTTCTATACAATAATACCGAATATCTGTAACCCTTTCTAAGCAAGAATATTGCATTTCTGTCCCCCGTTCTATACAAGAATATTGAATATTGGTACCCCTTTCTACACAAAATATTGATTATTTGTACCCCTTTCTGTGCAATATTGAATATTTGTACCCCTTTCTATGCAAGAATATTGAATATCTGTACTTCCTTTCTATGCAAAATATTGAATTTTTGTACCCCTTTCTAGGCAAGAATATTGAATGTGTGTCTCCCTTTTCTATACAATAATACTGAATTTCTGTCCCCCTTTTCTTCGCAAGGAACAAGGATATTTCCTCACCTCCTTGGAGGAGTCGGGTCCCCTGAGCCCGTCCTGTGGGCGAGCAGCAACGCTCTCTGTCACAAAGGCAATGTGCTCTGCGGGCAGCAGCCCCTCAGGGGGGGGAAAGGGAGCCACCAGCAGCCCCCTCCACCTGCTCAGGTCATCGAGGAACTGCAAGAAACGTGAAACAACAATAAGTCCGCACACAATAATAAGTTTTGTACCTTTAAGAGTGTTACAGAGAGTGAAGGGGGGGAGAGAAGAAGCGCGCAGTTTGTTTTCAGACGCTGCACTCGCTCCTCCACATTCCTGCTCCTGACTGTGTTGTCTGCGGACAGACAGCAGGACAGAGCTCTTCTTTTGCTTTTTAGTTAGTGTTAGCTAGCTGAGGCAAAGAAGTTCCCTGGACTGTTTTTTTTTTCCTTTTCTTTGGAGCTCTTGAAACTGCTCTGGACTGAACACCCAGGGGAGCACCGGCAGCTGCAGCTGAGGCCACCGGGCCGGGCCGGGCCTGCGACAATTCCAGCACTGAGGGACCGACCAGAGACCGAGCGAGCTGCTGCTTGAACCCGGGGTTTTCTCAGTTTGTCATCTCTTTTAGAGTGGCAAGGGGTCTCATTGTTTGATATTGTTTTGGTCTTATTGTTTAATAAACAGGTTTTTTTCCACCTTTCTCCAAGGAGGTATTTTTTCCCTTCCCGGACCAGTTGTGGGGAGGGGCCGATTGGATCCGCTTTTCCCACCGGAGCTCCTTTGGGGGATTCTTCCCCAAATTTGCTCTAAACCTGGACACAACTGATTCAACAATTCCTTTTTAAATTATGCCCAGCTTCAATTCAAATCCGACCCTCCAGCCGTACAGGAAGGGTGATGATTATTTTATTTTATGATTATTTTATGATTATTTTATGATTATTTTATGATTATTTCGCTTTCCCCACGAGACAAAGGAAGGGATAAAGTTCTGAACCGGTACAAAGGAACACTAAAAGCAAAACTGAAAGTAGCAAGGCAGGTTTTTATAAACCGACTGAAATTCCAGCTCTCAGCTTTGCAGGAGAGAGGGGGAACACAAAACCCCTGAGCTGTGACACTGAGGGACATTGCCACTGGCAGCATCCCTCATTCCCCTCTCCTCCTCTCCCATCCACACTGAATTCTGAATTCTCATGCCCCTGCATCAAAATTCCTCATTCACTATGAAACTCATAAAATAAAAATTAATAATTCACTCAGAATCAATTTTTCCATAAGTTGTTCTATCCACCCCTCAGCAGCTCATTGCACAAAAGTTTCTTCATTAAATTACAAAAGATTCCCTCTCTTGCCCTCAGCAAGGAACAAATAAAGCTCAAAACCTGGAATGAGCAGATCAAAAAACACATTTGAGACACCTCATGGCTTCCCAGCAAAATATTACATCCATTTTTAATTTTTATATTGATTTTGCACTGAACTTCATTTGTCTGCCATATTTAAAAAATGGCAAACATTAGCAACAACTATTTTGCTGGGGGAAATAGTAAAGGTAAAAGATTTTTAGAAAGTTATGAAAGCAGACTTTAGAAACAGAAAGAGTAGAGAACTTAGAGTTAGTTGTAAAATCTGAAAGTAGGAAAGTTACAATAGTACAGTAAGCAAGGACATGAAACAATGAGAGAACTCAAAACATGAAACAATTGAGACAACTCAACTCAGTTTGAGCTCTAGGTTTGGCTAAGACAGGTTTTAAGACTGTAGAAAAATATGTTTAGTAGGATAGGAGAAAGTTTTAAGTTTAATAATTTTGTATTATTAAATAGGAAGTTATATGGGAATAGGAATAGGACGTTATAGGAAGTTATATAATTACATAGGAAGTTAGAAAGTTATATGTTAATAGGAAGTATATAAGTAAGTATTGTTTGAAGCAGGTGTGGTTTTAGTGATTAGCTAGAATAATTATCTGTAAGATTTGGTAATAAGTTAATGGTTAAAAAGTTCTTTAAATGTTCTGTAACAAAGAAATTGGTTGTTAGCAAGAAGTGAGTTGTTGTTATCTTTTAATTGTTTTTATGTAATGAGAGTGATGTTATCAAATAAAGCTCAAAGAAAATATTTTATAGTCTTGTCTTGTTTGTGTGAGCTTCTAACACACATGGTGCTTTCACACCTTCCTAAAAATCCTCTTACCTCCACAATTTCCCACATTTCCCTTCTGCCATGCCACGAGCACACACCTGCAATAATTCCAGGAAAGAATTCCCCTGCGGCTCTGGGTTCCAGCACTAAATGTGGGATTTCATCCCTGCACAGCCCAAATGAAAACACAGAACACTGAGGGGGCAGCTCACTGACCCAGCCGCCCTGCTGAGCACAGAAGCTGCACAAACAAACTCCGATTTCACTGATTTCTCCCACAGGAAAGGGAACTGAGCTCAGGAAGTTTAAAGTACCTCAAACATCCCACCTGGCTAAAGGTCACACCAAAAAAAAATCCCTTTGCAGGTTATGATTTATGACTTGCAGTGTCTTAAGCAAGCTACTGCTCACCATCCAAGCTACTGAGAGAGCAAAGGGGCTTTGCTGGCTGCTCAGAAGCCAAAAAAAAAATCAGAATTAACCTTTTATCTCTTCAGAGATGATGCAAAGAGCTCGCCAGTGATGCAGAGCCAGAGCAGCACAACAGGACCTGCCCAAAGGATCCTCAAACGCTGTCACCACACATTTTAAAGAGACAAAAATATATTGAATAACAGCCCTGAGTCTGTGCCAAACTTCAGGGCAGGCTGCAGCTCCCCAGAGGGTTTCCCAGCTCCCAATAAACTGAGCAGATTATAAAATCAGGCTGCATGAACAGCACTGCAGACAGAAAAAAATGTGCTGGCAGGGCAAGGGCTGAGGAGAAGCTGTTACAGAAATGAGCAGGAGTGGAGCAAAGAGCAGAAATCAGCTGAAATGCTCCTCGCAGAACAATAACCCAGGGCAAGTCAGGCAGAACTCCTCTAAGCACAGCTTTGTTTTGGTTTTGATTTTATTGGAATGTGAATTAGGTATTTCAGCTGGCTGGGAAAGATTCTGAGACTGCCACACTCGCTCTTGAGTGCGAAATAATCTCTTCATTAAATAGCCAAAAAAACTTGTTTTACATGGAGCCAGCTCCATCAGCATTTCTAATCTTGTTTTCCCTCAAATGCAAATGTTCTTTTTACCCTCTGAACTTACAAAAAGCTTCCCTGCTTCCTGAGGAGCACTGGGGCGCTGACACGCTCCATAAACCCCTGCAACAACTGAAACAACCCCCAAGCACTCACACACCAACACAGCAAAAAGCACACACCAAGAAAAGCCTCACCCAGACCAATCCTGGCATTTAGTGCCACATTCAGAGAAATCACCATTTCTTTTAAATAATTCAGACTGGCTGGGGGCAGTGCCAGCTCCACTCCTAACGCTGAGACTCAAGCAGGCTCGCTTTCAGTTTTGCTCCCAGCAGTGCCAAGAGGAGCTGGTTCAGCTCAGGGATTTTCCACCCTCCTGGGCTGCCACAGCCGCCCCCAGCCCTGCTCCTTTCTGATTTTCATGTTTCACCTCATTCTCCTCACTTAGAACCACATTTTGCATGGGGGGAAGCAGCCAGCCCTCTCTCTCTCTGCCGTTCTCATTCCAGGCAGATCCAGCAGAGTTTTAAAGCCCTCACACGAATCCTGAGGGCACAAACACAGCACATATTTTTAGACTAAAGCCTTCCACGTTCTCCAAGCATGTTGCTAAAAGGGAAAAGAGGCTTTTCCCAGGGCCAGGACGAGGAGGAATGTCCTTAAAACTGGAAGTGAGCAGGTTCGGATGGGAAATTAGGAGGGAAATCTTCGCTGGGAGGGAGGGGAGGGTGCCCAGAGCAGCTGGGGCTGCTGGAAGGGCCCAAGGTCAGCTTGGACGGGGCACGGAGCCCACGGCAGGGGCTGGAACAGGATCGTCCCCAAGGTCCCTTCCAACACAAACCATTCTGTGATTTTGTGGAATTATTACGAGCTGTCCCAGCCAAGCTTTCCTAGAACCACGGCTGCCCTTGCAAAGCTGCACTAAATACACACACATACATATATACATATATTTATATATATATACATACAAATACACATTCATAGCACACAGAGCATCTCTCAGCCCATTTCCTATTCCTAGATATATACATTTCCTTTACATATATACATTCCTATATATCTATCTCTCTCCTATTTCCTATATATATACACATTTCCTATATATTTCCTATTTCCTATACATATACATACAAATGTATATACACACATACAAATACACATTTGGAGCACACAGAGCACCCCTCAGCCCATTTCCTATTCCTATATATACGCACATTTCCTAAACATATATTCCCATGTATATATATCTCCTATTTCCTATATATAGTTACACATATGTATACACATGCAAAACGTATTTGGAGCACACAGAGCATCCCTCAGCCCATTTCCTATTCCTAGATATTTCCTATATATATACACACACATTCCTATATATATATATTTCCTATATAAATATATATTAATACAAACATACATATGCATATGTATACATACAAATACGTATTTGGAGCACACAGAGCATCTCTCAGCCCATTTCCTATTCCTATATATATGTAAAAAATATTTCCTCTTTCCTATATATATATATATACATACACATACATATATATACATGTATACATCCACAAATGCATATTTGTAGCACACAGAGCATCTCTCAGCCCATTTCCTATTCCTATATATATATACATTTCCTATATATATATATTTCCTCTTTCCTATATATCTATACATACACATATATATACATGTATACATCCACAAATGCATATTTGTAGCACACAGAGCATCTCTCAGCCCATTTCCTATTCCTATATATATATACATTTCCTATATATATATATTTCCTCTTTCCTATATATCTATACATACACATATATATACATGTATACATCCACAAATGCATATTTGTAGCACACAGAGCATCTCTCAGCCCATTTCCTATTCCTAGATATATATACATTTCCTATATATATATATTTCCTCTTTCCTATATATATATACATACACATACATATATATACATGTATACATACACAAATGCATATTTGTAGCACACAGAGCATCTCTCAGCCCATTTCGTCCTCCAGCAAGCTCCGGCAAGCAGCGAGGAGAGGGACCCACACCCGAACTAACATTTCCCACCACAGCGACCACCGAGCTGTGCCCTCCTCCTCCCCCCGGCTCTGACACCACCTGGGAATTCCCTCCGCGCGTTGTTTTTCCCCAATCCCAAACCCCTGTCCGCCACCAACCCTCAGAACCAAACCTTAACCCCATCCCCGGGGGCCGGGATGCGCATCCCCGTTACCGCGGCAACCGCCGCGGCAACCGCCGCGCCTCCCCGCGCATCCCCGCGGCTCTACCTGCGCCTCGCCGGTGCAGAACACCTTGCCGCCGACGCGGAGGCACACGCGCTCGTCGGGGTGCGGCTGGCGGGCGCAGAAGGTGAAGGAGCAGCGGGAGCGGTGCAGCCTCCGCACGGTGCTGCGGACGAGCGCGGCCGAGCGCGGCCCCCAGCGCGCCCACAGGTACAGGTAGCACAGCGTGATCAGCATGGCGGGCGCGCGGCCACGCCCCCCGCCGCCCGCCCCGGCCAATGGCAGCGCCGTGCGTCAGGGAGGGCGGGTGGCGGTCGCGGCGCTGATTGGCCGGAGGGGGCTGGCGCGCGCGGCGCCCCGCCCCTTTGGCAGCGCCCCGCCCCCTTGGCAGCGCCGCGTCTCTCCCCTCCTCCTCCCCTCAGCGCTCGGCCGTGAGGGCGCCTGCGCCTCACGCTGAGGGGAACGCGGAGTTCTGCGGTGGAACGAGGTGTGAAAAGGAATAAAGAGCGCTCAAAATCGCTCAGAGCGGCTCGGGGTGTCTTTGTAACGAGTTAGTTGTAGGCGTGCTCTGGAGGAGGAAGAGGAGGAGGAGCAGGCGAGGTCTTTTCGTCGCGGGCGCCACGATTCGGTTTCTCTGGGAATGGCAGAATGGTTGTGGTAAAAAGGAACTTAAAGCTCATCCAATGCCACCCCCTGCCATGGCAGAGACACCTCCCACTGTCCCAGGCTGCTCCAAGCCCCAGTGTCCAACCTGGCCTTGGGCACTGCCAGGGATCCAGGGGCAGCCCCAGCTGCTCTGGGAATTCCATCCCAGCCCTGCCCACCCTCCCAGGGAGGAAATTGTTCCTAATATCTGATCTAAACCTGTAATTTTTCAGTGTGGAGCCATTCCCTGTGTGCTGTCCCTGCATCCCCTGGCCATTGTCTCTCTCCAGCTTTCCTGGGGCTCCTCCAGGCCCTGCAAGGCCGCCCTGAGCTCAGCCCAAAGCTTCTCCTGTGCAGGTGAGCAATGCCAGCTGTGCCAGCCTTTCCTGCCAGCAGAGCTGCTCCATCCCTCTGCCCATCCTGGAGCCTCCTCTGGGCTCTCTGCAGCAGCTCCAGCTCCTCCCTGCGCTGGGGCAGCTCTGCAGGTGGGGAATCGCCTGAGGGGACACAGGGACAGAATTCCCCCCTCACCCGCTGCTCCCACCAGTAGCGATGGAGCCCAGGATAAATCTTCTGCTTCTCCAAAGCTCAAACTGTCCTGATGGACAACAGGAAAGTGTGAAAAACGCCAATCACATGTTTTGTTTAAATTTTAGATTTTTAATACTAATAAAATTGTTATAAAAATAGCAATATAACTAGAGTAAAAAAAATTGGACAATTTGGATTAGGACAATATGAGACAAGAGAAACAAAGAGTTACAGACAGTCCAGGTACCTCTTTCTGGGCAAAAATAACGCCAAAAAGGACCCACATTGGCAGAGGATTAACCCTTAAAAACAACAGCCTGTTGCATATTCATACACCTCACACATGGTGCATAAATTCCATTCACACACAGGATTCTGGCTGGGCAGTGTCAGCTTCTGCCTCTGAATCCTGACAGCTCTGCAGGGCTGAGTGAGGCAGGAAGAAGTTCATTTCTGCTGATAATGGAGCAATAAATTCTCTTTCTGTGAAAGATTCAGGCGTCCTGTGGCTGCTATCTCATTGCAAGTAAGTCCTTTCTTTAGAAAAAAAGTATCTTCCATAGCATAGTTTCTATTTTAACATTTTGTTATAACCTAAACTATATTTAACACACTACTCAAGAAAACCAATACAGCACAACTTTCTGACACAACACATATAATATTCATTTGAATACTTGTGAAAAGCCAATCATAAAACACACATTTTTCACAAAAGGATCTCATCTTCCTCAGAGTTTACTTGACACTGCTACCTGACCTTATTCCCAATTGAAGGTGCCCTAAAGGCACAGAATTCCCTTTTGTGTCCCACACAGGACCAGGAGAAGCCATCTGTCCCCAGTTCCCATTCCTGCAGCCACCAAAGCCACAAATGGATGCATTTCATTCCAGCCAGAAATGTATTTATATAATAATATAAATAAATATAAATCTATTTATTTATATAACATATATAAATAAATCCAATTCATCGGATTCACCAAATGACCTCAGAGTGAGGAGCAGCCTGGCAGGGAATCAAGCTGCAGGATCTGTGTGCTGCAAACACAAACTGCTCCTCCAGAATGCACAACAGGCAGCAAAATCTCCTTAACTCCTCCAGTATATTTATGCACTAAAGTTATCAATATTTTCTGTGTTTTCTAAGGAAAGGAATCACAACCCAGCTGTGGGAAAGGAAGGTGGGGATCAGTCTGATCCCAGCAGACACTTGGTGTGTGAGGGAAAAAAGAAGATTAAAAAAAGATGCGAAATGCAAGGCCACAAGAAAGAAGCCAACACCTGCACTGACAGATATGTGACTCTTGTTTCCTGAACAAGTTGGGCAGGAAGCCACAACCTTTTTATTGTTGTTATTGTGAACTCAAGGTCTTGCCCTGCACTTGGAAATTCAGTGCGATGGGTATTTTAAAATAACAATTGCATCCCTAAGTGTATCTCTAGCAGGAGATAAACAAGGAACAAATTGGCTCTGCTCTCACATTTCAAGTGAAAGGAGGAGAGGAAATGGTTTTAACTTGTGCCAGGGGATGCTCAGTGTGAAAAATGCCTATTTTATGATGGGCTTTTTGCAAATATTAAAATGAATATAAAATGTGTTGTATTGGAAAGTGATGCTGTGTTAATTTTAAGCAGTGTGTTAGATAGAGTTTTAGGTTATAACATAATGTTAAAATAGAAATTATGGTATATAAGATTTTTTTTTTTTTTTTTCTATAGAGAGAACTCACAGCGAGATAGCAGCCACAGGACACCTGAATCCTCCACAGAAAGAGAATTTATTGCTCCACTATCAGGAGAAATGAAGGAAGAAGCTGACACTGCCCAGCCAGAATCCTGTGTGTGAATGGAATTTATGCACCATGTGTGAGGTGTATGAATATGCAACAGTTTATTGTTTTTAAGGGTTAATTCTCTGCTAACATGGGTCCTTTTTGGGGTTATTTTGCCCAGAAAGAGGTACCCAGACTGTCTATAACTCTTTGTTCTTATTCTCTCATATTGTCCTAACCCCAATTATTCAAATTATTATTACTCTAATTATATTGCTATTTTTATAACCATGTTATTATTATTAAACTTTAAAACTTTAAAAAACAAGTGATTGGCGTTTTTCACATTCAGGAGATGTTTTTTCCCTGGCAGAGTGGTCAGGCCTTGGGCTGAGCTGCCCAGGGAGGTTTGGAGTCCCTGAATTGTCCCAGAGCAGTCTGGATGTGGCCTTGGGGACAGGATTGGGGTGATGGCACTGGGTGATCCTGGAGGGCTCTTCCATCCCTGAGGATTCCCTTCCCAGCTCCTCAGGGATTCTCCAGCCCCTTCCCAGCTCCTCAGGGATTCTCCAGCCCCTGCCCAGCTCCTCAGGGATTCTGCAGCCCCTTCCAGCTCCTCAGGGATTCTCCAGCCCCTTCCCAGCTCCCTCAGGGATTCTGCAGCCCCTTCCAGCTCCTCAGGGATTCTCCAGCCCCTTCCCAGCTCCCTCAGGGATTCTGCAGCCCCTTCCCAGTTCCTCAGGGATTCTGCAGCCCCTTCCCAGCTCCTCAGGGATTCTGCAGCCCCTTCCCAGTTCCTCAGGGATTCTGCAGCCCCTTCCCAGCTCCTCAGGGATTCTGCAGCCCCTTCCAGCTCCTCAGGGATTCTGCAGCCCCTTCCAGCTCTGTTCCCTGCCCTGGACACACTTCAGCCCCTCCAGGCCCTGTTTGAGGTTTTCCTTTTCATGGCTCTCTTCAGATGCAAAGAGCTTGCTCGGATCACTGAGGGACATTAAATTAACACCTTGCCTTGAAAAATTGTTTTGTTCTCAAACAAAAAAACCCTTTTGCCTTTGTCCAGGGGAGGAGAACGGAGCTGGGAATGGTCTGGAAAACACAAACTGTGGGGAGCAGCTGAGGGGGCTGGGGGGGCTCAGCCTGGAGCAAAGGAGGCTCAGGGGGGACCTCATTGCTCTGCACAGCTCCTGCCAGGAGGGGCAGGGAAAGGAGGAGAGGAAATGGCCTCAGATGGCACCAGGGCAGGCTCAGGTTGGAGACTGGCACAGAAAATTTCCCTGGCAGAGTGGTCAGGCCTTGGGCTGAGCTGCCCAGGGAGGTTTGGAGTCCCTGAATTGTCCCAGAGCAGTCTGGATGTGGCCTTGGGGACAGGGATTGGGGTGGTGGCACTGGGTGATCCTGGGGGGCTCTTCCATCCCTGAGGGTTCTGTGATTGTGGCCCTGAGCTCCTCCAGGGATGGGACACAATATTTCCACAGCTCATGGCACAAACAGATCACACTTCCAGTGGTGAGGCCAAATATTTTAAACAATTCTTCATCTCAAGCTTCAGAAGCACCAACCTTGTGCTGCTGCCACATCCTGCCCTGCAGAGAGAGAAAGAAATCTCCATGTTAACAGAGGATTAACCCTTAAAAACAAAAACCTGTTGCATGTTCATACGCCTCACACATGGTGCATAAATCCCATTCAAACCCAGGATTCTGGCTGGGCAGTGTCAGCTTCTTCCTCTGAATCCTGACGGCTGAGCAAGGTGGGAAGAAATCGGTTTGTTCTGATAATGAAATCTCTGAAATCTGTCACAAAAAGAGAATTTATTGCTCCACAAGGAGCACTTTCTGATTGCTGTGAAGAGCACCAATCACTTGTTTGCAGAATGTTAAAAGTTTAATAGTAATAAAATAGTTATAGAAATAGTAATATAATTAGACTAATAAAGATTTGGACAATTGGGATTAGAACTATATAGGAAAATAACAACAAAGAGTCAAGGACAGTCCAGGTACCTTTCTCTGAGCAAGATAGCCCAAAAAATGACCCAAGTTAACAGAGGGTTAACCCTTAAAAACAACAGCCTGTTACACATTCATACAGCTCATCCATGATGCATAAATTCCATTCAAACACAGGATTCTGGCTGGGCAGTGTCAGCTTCTTCCTCTGAATCCTGACAGCTGAGCAAGGTGGGAAGAAGTCAGTGTGTTCTGATAATGGAGCAATAAATTCTTTTTCCCAGAAAGTTTTAGGTGTCCTGTGGCTGCTGTCTCAGTGGGAGTACCTCATTCCTCTCTTTTAAAAAAAGTATCTTCCATGGCATCGTTTCTATTTTACCCTTTTGTTATAACCTAAAACTCTATTTAACACACTACCTAAGAAAATCAATACAGCATCACTTTCTAACACAACACATATAATATTCATTTGAATATTTGCAAAAAGCCAATCATAAAATACCCATTTTTCACACCAGGCTGGTGCTGCTGCCATTCCTGCCCGGCACAGAGAGGAACAAATCCCCAGAGCTCCTCCCCTGACAGCTCACCCTGCTCATTGTGTGACCTCACCCTGTGCGGGTGCTTGCCTGGGCACACCCAGAGGGAGCCAACAATGCCCAGAGGAGCTCGGGGCTCTGGGGTTCACTGTCCTAAGGGAGCTCAGGGCACTGCTGAGCCCACAAACTGCTCAGGGCTCTGGGATTCACTGTCCTGGGGAGCTCAGGGCTCTGGGGTTCACTGTCCTGGGAGCTCTGAGTTCTGGGATTCACTGTCCTGGGAGCTCAGGGCTCTGGGATTCACTGTCCTGGGGAGCTCAGGGCACTGCTGAGCCCACAAACTGCTCAGGGCTCTGGGGTTCACTGTCCTGGGAGCTCAGGGCTCTGGGGTTCACTGTCCTGGGAGCTCAGGGCTCTGGGATTCACTGTCCTGGGAGCTCAGGGCTCTGGGGTTCACTGTCCCAGGAGCTCAGGGCACTGCTGAGCCCCCAAACTGCTCTGAGCTCTGGGGTTCACTGTCCTGGGATCTCAGGGATCTGGGATTCACTGTCCTGGGGATCTCAAGGATCTGGGATTCACTGTCCTGGGATCTCAGGGCTCTGGGGTTCACTGTCCTGGGGAGCTCAGGGCTCTGGGATTCACTGTCCTGGGAGCTCAGGGCTCTGGGATTCACTGTCCTGGGAGCTCAAGGATCTGGGATTCACTGTCCTGGGGAGCTCAGGGCTCTGGGATTCACTGTCCTGGGGAGCTCTGAGTTCTGGGATTCACTGTCCTGGGGATCTCAGGGCTCTGGGATTCACTGTC